ATCTGTGAGAGCACACTGCTGGCTCATGTCCAGCTTCCCACTCACCAGTACTCAGATCTTTTTTTGGCAGGGCTATGCTCAATTGTTTCATCCCCCAATTTGTATTGGTAATGAGAATTGCCTCAACCAAGGTGCAAGACCTTGTACTTGGCTTTGTTGAACCTCATGAGGTTCACCTGGGCCCACTGCTGAAACCTGTCTAGGTCCATTTGGGTGGCATCCTATCCCTCTGATGTGTTGACTACACCCCACAGCTTGGTGTTACCCACAAACTTGCTGAGGGTGTGCTCGATCCCACTGTTGATGTCATTGCCTTGTACAAAATACAGGGCTTGGTCTTCATATCACATCTCAAAGATTCTTTTTGTCAGATCCTATCAAACAAAATGAGTGAATGTGTGATTCTTTTCACATTCTGAACACTTTACATTGATTATTGAATTTATTTTCTCAGTGTAGAACAGTGGGAGAGAATGGAAGTGTCTTTATTCCTGTTTCACACCTGTTAGACTGGATCAGAGAGATAAAGCAGTTGTATCTAGAGGCTTCTGCTGCAGCAGAAATAGAGCTCACATTTCGGTTGACTCACAAATGTCAACAAATGACAGCTGCCGAATTGCAGGACTCATGACCATGTTTTCCCTCAGCTTCTTTCCACAGAAGAGTGCTTCATTCTGTTTTTGACACATGGCTATATTTGGAAAGTATAGAGAAGCCATGAGAGATTCACAGTGTTACAATTAAAGGTCCTGGAAGAGTGGAAGATTTAATCTTTTCAAGACTTTCATGAACAATGTAATCCTTTGGCTTTTGTTTCCAGGAACTTCAGTGAGGTCATTGGTGATGCAGCAGTGCTTTACAGAGCACCAACTGTTCTTTTATTTACACAGTGGACATGGCAGAATAAGAAATGGGGAAAAATGGGAAGGGAGTCTCTTTGTCACATTTACTGTGCTCAGTCTTATCAAGCTTGACTCACGATGCAGACAGATTCACTCTGAAAAATATCCTCAACATCTGACTTTAAAGTATTTAGAGCAACTGAAAAATTGGAATAATTCATGTTTTTATTAGTAGGAACCACTAAATATCCCTAACTAACCACATCTTCCTCAAAATAAATAAATAAATAAATAAATAAAATAAACAGAGCAGCTATTTAAAGAAAGAAAAGGGCAAGGAAGTCTTAATATGCTTTATAAACGTGACAGTGCTGAATGGCACCAATTTTCCAAACAACTGTTTATCAAACTACTGCAAAGTAAATGGAGCCAGTGTACTATCAGGGTTACATCAAGATACAACCTTACAGAAGTGATTCAAGGTTTTTCTTACCATTGTAGTTCTGTATCAAGCAGATAGTTAAGGAAGCTGGAGATTCAGTATTGTTCAATGAGGTCCTTACTGAAGCACATGATGTTAGCTTTTTGGTTGGATATATCAAGCTAGATTGTAATCTGGGAAAAATTATAGCTGCTAGCAGTGCGCTAACTCTCTTTGGACTTGTTGGAAGAACCTGTCAAAGCAATGAAAGTGCCAGTGATATCACAAAGCACTTGACTGTGCAGACCCCAGCTTCTACGAGTGTGTCACTCAGCAGTATTTTTTAACTGAAAATTAGATGTGAAAAGTTCTTTCTACAGTGCAAAGGAGAAATAAGCATCTAGGAGTGAGATACAGTGCAGAGCCTGCTGAGTAGAGTTTCCTGTGGAGATAAGTGGGAAATGCTGAGAAGTTCCCAGAAAAGGGCATTTCATTCACACGTGAGAAGCTGCAGTGAGAAGCAGCAGCATCTGGTAGGCAATTGGTTATAGCATTCACCTGGAGTGTGCAGATCAAATTCACAACCTTTTGGTGCTCATATCCCAGAGGAAATTGTGCAGCCACCATAAAATTCTCTATGATAGGGCCCTCTCAGTTCCTGCATGTGTTTGGGACAGAGATAGAGGATGATTTAATGTTCCAGAGGTTAAGATTTACATCTCAGAAGAGAACGCTCTGTTTCCAGTTCCTAAACTTATGTATTTCCATGTGTTTTCATACAAAGTGTAGCAGTTGCAGCAGGGGTGGCTGGTTGAAGCCCACTTCAAAGGTAAGTGGTCTGGTGGCTGTGGCCCTTTCCAGATGGGAGGAAGATAGGTGACATTCATCTAGAGCAGAGAGAGACCCAGATTTTTTACTTTGTTCATGTTCTAGATACCAAAGTGTTCATTCTAAATCTGGTCACCCACTTTAATTCTTCCCTGGAAATGTACACCAGAGGAAGACTTCCTTAATGTGAAAGATCCACAGTTTTCCAGGCACAGGAATGGCTAGAAATAAGCCTTGCTTCAGAGTGCTGCATAGACTTCTAGGCTTTTAGCAGCAGAATTTTGGACATATCAAGGACATACAAATAAAATCATAAAAAAATAATTTGAATTGAAGGAGTTAGATTTCACTTATTATAGAATTTACATATTTCCGTTTTTATAGCGTTGTTGAAAATAATTTCATTGTTTGCTTGCTTAAAGCTGTTCTGTGGTGCAGCAATGACTAAACAGTAAAACAAGCTACATACCTGCCAAGTATATCGTGATCCCAGACCAGCAGCCTGGAGTTAAAATAATCCATCTAGCTCAGCAATGTGGATGCCATTTATGGCAGTGCTGTCAGTGGCTGGAAGTCTAACTCACGGTTCCCTTTTTTATTTTGCCATCACTGCTATGAACCCACCAGGACAGGATTTGCAGTTACAAATGCTGATTCTCATGGTTTCAGCTCCCTGCATTGTGCTGTCTCTGGCATCACAGTCCAGCTGTTTATGCATGTCTATTATGTCTCCTCAAGGCATTTGTAAAGGAAAACAAGCTTCCCCTTCAAGGAAGGTAACAAACATCATAAACTCAGCTGCATTTTACAGAAATTACAGTGAGTTGATTCCTACTGAGCTTCAGCCTGTGGCACAGAATGTCTTGGATATTGCAGAGTTTTCATTGGGTTTCACAGCTGCTCAGTCAAGAAGTAACTTGTAAGATTTTTCTATGCTTGTGAGAGAGAACTGCATGCCTGCGGTGAATCTAATTGAAAGGCACAGATCCATAGTATCACCTTCGCCTGCTAAATGCTCCTCTTTAACTCAGCCTGGGCATGTGATCCTATGAACCTTGCAGTGGGCACCAACTACAGTGCAGAGATGGACTATAGTCTGGCAGCAGTGTGTGCTTCCCTAAAGCAGGCTGAATAGCAATTCTTGACTCCTATGAAACATCCTGTTCAGTGTTCAGGATCTGCAAAATGGAGCTGTGTATCTTTCCTGCAAGGTTTCGAATGTTACTTTCTCCTCTCATATTGCTTGCTGGAGCACATAGTGCAGTATATTTCATTACGCATTAACAAAAAGTGTTCTACAGTCTTTAAAAATACAGTGCCATTCCAGCACATGGTGATCATGAGCAAAAATCTGCAGAGATAGAGGTACTTCTCTTCATCATTAAATGGTAGCCATGAGCATGAAAGCAAGATCATTTTTAGTAGAGTGTGCAAAACATCTTAGGGTGAGAGGAGAGTCTCCTCTGGTGGAGACTGTGTCTACTATATATTGGACTAGAAGATTCAGAACACACTGTTCTCTTCTGTCATGTCTGAGTCCTGTGTATGTTGACAGCATTGAACTGTTTGCTCCGCAGAGTACTACACTGACATCATATACCTGTTTATTATAGTTTTTCAGAGTTTGGTGCTGTCCATCTTTCTTATCTTAATTCAGTAGTGTGATGATGCCTTTTGAGATGCTATTGGGTATGTGAACCATCTTCAGAGAGCCAGCTTGTTTGATAACAGAGATCTGTGCTCTGCTGGATTAGGAAATGATAGCTAAGTTCCTGGTGGAAGTATGTGATGCTTTTATGTAGACAGCTGTGTAAAGCCCCACACATCTATGCTGAGATCATGAGGTTCTAAGCTCGTACATACCAACCTGAAGACAGAAAATGCTAGTAGGTGTTAGTCATCTCATCCTGAAGTACACATCTAAAACAGCTCAGATGTACTGCATCCTAGAAATGCCTACTACTCTTCATTCCTTGATTTATTTATATCAAAGGAGTTTAGGTATCTAGCTCACATGTACTTTGCAAACACAAAAGTCAGATAATTATAATTCCACCCTGGATAGAGTACCTGATAAGCAGAAGCGATATCCTGCTGTTTCCTAATCATAAGATCTTTGCTTAAAAACTGTAAGACTACAAAGAAAGACAGAGAGCAAACGTAGCTGTGGAGGCCGACATACCTTTGATATGGATAGTGTGCAGCTCATTAATTGGTTGATACTTGGCCTGCTGTGAGTAATGTGATAAAAAATCTTGTGGCGTTACAATGCTTAATACATCTGATTTTATTGTGGACAACTCAAATCAGAATTGGCTTGTACTATAACAAAGACATATAGTACTTAGATATTTCTACTCTAGATAATGTCTGTGAAGCTTTATTTTTACTTATAGAGTTATTGGATAAAGATCAAGTGATTGTGACTGAATATTTAATAGCACATATATCAATGAAGTTAGATCAATTGTTAAGATACAGTACACAGAGTTTACTTTCAGGTTATTGATAGCAAATGCAGCTAATTAATATGATGATGGATATAATATTGTTCCATGAAAGAGGGAAAAAAAAAGGCAATAAATCTAACTGTTCTAGGGTAGTTTTTCAATAGATTTTATATTCATATTCTTTCTGATAAACTGGGGTTTGGGGCATATAAGAGGAGCTGTGATTGTTAGACAAACTCTGATTCTCTTGTGCAAGGCAGTTGCTCATAATTTGTGTATTGTTTGTACATGTGGCCACACATAAGGGAACAAACCAAAACGAGCAAAAGAAACCAAAACAAAAAGCCCCACATCATTAAACAATTGAATCTCATGACATGCAGAAATGTGCTTACTTTTTCACATCAGTTTATGAAGAAGTTTGGAATGAAAAATATGCTGTGTTCTTCTCCTTTCTAGGTCTCCTATGTAAAAGCTATTGACATCTGGATGGCCGTGTGCCTTCTCTTTGTCTTTGCTGCATTACTGGAATATGCAGCAGTCAACTTTGTTTCACGGCAGCACAAGGAGTTTCTGAGGCTTCGAAGAAGACAAAGAAGACAAAACAAGGTATAGTTGCCCTTTACTCCAGGTGCCCAACTTTACCCTGACAGCATATTTGACGTATAGGTTGATTTCTCACCTCAGTTCTTGCCCTCGATGGACAGTGTCGTTACAATGTTGATTTTTTGTGATTTATTCTTTGAGAAGGTGTTGAAAATTATCTGCTGGCTTTATTTACAGTTCATAAATATATCAATAAATGTCAATAGACTGGTCACTGATTCCAAAAATTTTATTCTCTTCTTAAAATTGATGAGGCAGCTGTACCTTTACCCATACACTTATTAGCTATTTAGGCTAGACTGACCTCAGATTTTCTTCTAATCCCCAAATACTGTTATATGGCGCCAACTAACAGATAAGGAACAACAGGACACAATGATACAGACAGCATACTAGCATTATTATTTCTCAGAATTCATCCAGAAATGCTAACATAAACATATGCTTAAGACCTGTCTTTTCTAGTGTCTTTTCTTGCTAAAATTGGAGATTCTCTAACATAGTCCCCTGTAGGTGTAATCAGCAGTTCTGCCCTCACTTCTAAACCAGCACTGGGCAGTGTATTTCCCTGCTGAAATCAGCAAACCTAACCACTGGGAAAAAAGAAAAGGATTAGGGCAACTTCACACGTTGTTACTGGTACTAACTTCAGTTTTTTAACAAAAGAATGTTTTGTGAGGATTATGATTTTATAATTTTATACCAACCAAAATGTAAAAGTGAGGCTTGTTTTTAATGTCGATATCAGTCTGGAAATATTTTTAAGAAGTCTGTCAATGTTTCCTGATTTCTTATTTGTTAAAAGAAAAGGCAAGAATAGATATCAAACTGAATTGGCTGAAAAAAGCTGAGGGAGTTGGGCTTGTTCAGCCTGGAGAAGAGAAGGCTGCGGGGTGACCTCATTGCAGCCTATCAATACCTGAAGGGAACCTACACCCACGAGGGGAGTAAACTCTTCAAAAGGGCTGACAACAGCAGGACTAGGGGAAATGGATCGAAGTTGAAGGAGGGAAGATTTAGGTTGGATGTTAGGGGGAAGTTCTTTACAAGGAGAGTGGTTAGGCCCTGGAACGGGCTGCCCAGGGAGGTTGTGGATGCCCCGTCCTTGGATGTGTTTAAGGCCAGGTTGGACAGGGTCCTGGGCAACCTGATCTGAATGTGTGTGTTTGGTGGCCCTGCTAGGCAGGGGGGTTGGAACTACATGATCCTTGAGGTCCCTTCCAACCCGGGTGATTCTGTGTGATTCTGTGATTTTAGTCAATTTATGATGAATTCCCACAGCTATAGCATCCTTCCTGTATTTGTTTCACTGGAACTCATCATCAGCAGAAACATTTAGGTTTGTATCTCCGCAGAAACAATTGCTAGGCAAAGTAAATATTCACTTGAGTCACATGTGAGTTTCAAGTTGCTAATAATGGTTTCCTTACTTTAGCAATAACAAGAATGGCATAGGGCATTTGTGTTTTGACAGGTCTGTCTAGTAATTATTCTGTAGCTAATGGAATATTTGATGGATGCTCTGGGAAGCAATCCAGTACTGTCCTCAGATTTAATGCTGTTGTCAGATGAATTGAGATTCTCATTCAGATTCTGAGAGGGAATAGAAATGCTTGCCTGTCTGTAGGCACACATGGCAGATACACTGCCACTAGAAACCTTTGTTTCCAGTAATGATGCAACAGCAGAAGATGATGTATGGAGTCTGTAATTTCAGTTTTGGGTATGATGTCTTCTTCAGAAGTGAACTAGTTGCCAAGACGCCACTACTGGTAAGTAATAGTATGGCAACAATGTCACTTGAAAATTATGAGATTTTGATTATGGTTTGGTTTTGGTTAGTCATTCACCTACCGTCAGAATGATTATTTTGGTGACTATTAAGGGCAAGATACTTGAAACCTGATCATCTGAAGAGACCACTCAAGCAAGTCAGTTGATTCTACACAAAATGGACAATTCCCCAATTAAGCACTGGATAACACTTTTGGTGTAAGATACACTTATCCATTTGCACAGGGTTTCTATTATTTTTCTACGAATCTGGTTGCACAAATTTCGAAATAGGGAATGATGATACTGAGACCAGCACTTTTTAAAGCATTTTCTGCATCTCTTTACATGAGTTTGTATTTCACGATTTTCTCTGTTTTGCCTTGAAAGTGGTTCACATTGTTTTGCATGATGGTCTTCTCTAACTGAGCCAATTCTTCTCTTTGCGTGTTATGTATGTGTTGTTGTGTTGCCATTGTGCTGTTCTTATTCTTGCTGCTGCTATGTATGCTGACACTCTGGGGACAGGCACAGACTATGACTTTTGGGAATGAAAGCGTCGATTCCGTGAGGCGCATGAATGGCTTGCAAAGAAAAGAGTCATCAGCTTACGGGACAGTGAATCAGATCGGCAATTCAAGTTTGAGGGTAAAACTGTAGTAAGAAAGAGAAAGCAAGAGAGAGCTTTAGTATGTGCAATGATGTCATAAATCAGCAGAATGGATGATTTTCATGACATCGCCAGTAGCCTCTTGCACTCTCTTTTCTAAATATCCCACACTATATATGGAGTACTGTCCCCAGCATGAACAGCAATTTCATGTTGCATGTTATTGTGGCCCGTCCTTATGATTGCTATTTTCCATGGTTGGATTGTGCTGTTTCTTCTCCAAACCTAAGGAAAGTGTATGTGTATTCTGTACCCTGGCCCTGTATATATGGGGAGGATGGGAGTTAGGGGACCAAGTGTGGTGCAGGAGCATAGGAAGTGCTTTGACATAGAAAATACCACACTGTGTCATCTTTCAGATGACTGCATTCCAACCAAACTAGGTACATATAATGAAATGCATTTTACTGGTATGGTATTTATTTCTCAACTGTCAACCTGTGGTGTACCTTCTTGTCACGTCCTAAACATTGTCTAGTGGAGTATGAAGAAAAAAAAATGTATTTCACTGTTTTTTTCCAACTTGTTTTGAGAAGAGCCGTGGGGCTGAAATTCTGTACACAGTGTGATGTGTAGTAGATCTGAAGCAATATGATAGCCACTGATAGATCCAGATTACGGGTGAGTTGTGGAAGTAATAAAATCAGTGATGGAGAGAGAAACAAGCTTAGTGTTCTGCTCATTGCTTGCTACTGGTGGCAGAGAAATGAAATCCATTCGTTCAAATAAAAAAGGACTAGAATTTAAATTTTTCAGGACCTGGTTTTCCAAAACTAAAAAATCATTGCCCAAATAGCTTTTGAGCTGTAATAGGCCTCTTACTTTGATCAAGGTTTGTAAAGTTATGTGATTATAAGATGTAGATTATTTTAGTGGATTTTCTTCACTGCTAGGGGAATTACTGGCTTTCAAAATCAAAGCAATAACACAGATCCTGTTACACTGCAAAACTATGTTAGAGGGCTTGCAACGCGATAAATCATTCACTTAAAGAGCAACAATAGCAAACAGCAGAAGAGAGTCTTCATTTCTGCATTCTTTCTACTGTAGAAATAATCACATTTACCCATAGGCAAAAATGAACATAAGCACGAAAGTTTTAGGGATAAAACCGATATTACTATGCTGCGACTGGGAAGCTGATGTCATAACTCAAAAAAAAAACCAGTACAAACAAAGACTTGCTATTGTCTGTCTGATCAGTCACATAGTGGTACTAGTCCAGCTAGGTTCATTTAAAACCCAGCTACTCTCTGACTGCAGAAAACTGGCGGAAATATCACTTCTACTTCTTAATATCGTGTATTACACACACATCCAGCACTACACAAAGAGGGACCACATCTCTGTACTATTTTTGCTGCAAAATCCTGAGATCTGAAGATGTTCTGGAGTTGATTTCCCCTAGAGAACTCCCACCACGAAAGTGATTTGCTCTAGTAAGGTGGAGATTCCTGGAGCAGTGTTGTCATAGATGAAGCTTGGTACTTTTCTGCTCAAGAGAAGGACATTTATCTGCAGAAAGGAATACATCCTGTGGTCCCACAAGACACCTCCCAAGCAGGGTTTGTGGCTCCCTGAGTTATTGCTTACTAAGCTAAGGGCTTATGGAGAATGCAAACCTAAAAGTCACAAAAAAGTTAAATGACTGGCACAGTCAAGAAGACACAGAAGAAAAGGGAGGTGGTTTAGTACTTACACTGCATTATTCAGAGCTAGTTTGAAGAAATAGACACCAAGACATGCCAGGTCAAGATTCCTGAATTAAGCAGATTGATCCTCAAAACTGTTCTCAGTTTTGTAAGCCTTCATCCCCGCTTTCATTATTGTTACTGCTGTGTTGTGTTCCTCATAGTGGTGTGACTTCCTCAGCATTGTATGAAAGCACGAGAAATCTGAGACTATCAGAAGTCAGGAAGGTTAATGCTTCTCCAGGAAAGTTTAGGTTGTACTGCTGACTGTCCAAAACTTGTAATTACAGCTGAACAATTGACCCATCCCTGTGTTAGAAACAACTGAACTGTTGTCCAGTTCAGGATTTGTTGCCACTTTCCATAAGGAATGAAACTCTGTATCCTCAGCCCTTCAGCCTATCTGCATTCTCCACACCGTTTCTGCTGGAGGAAATATTCAGTGCTCATCCTAAAGACCTGTGTAGTCTTCCTGCTCACAATGAAATGCACTCAACAGTAGCCATATGTCACTGCTGAAATAAATGGTTGTTTATTTGCTGTACGATATGATATTACTTTTTGTGTAGGGAGAGTGCAGCCTGCAAAAGCCATGACCCTGGTGGAATGGAGGATGTATGGAGGATGTAATACAGTTGTATGGAGGATGTAATATATCTGTATTGTAATACAGATGTATTACATACGTAATACAGATGTATGGAGGATGTAATACAGTTGCACTATATTGAAGTCTAACTTTGCTTAGTGCCAGATCATCTGAAGAAAAACAACTTCTTTTTAAAATATTATTTGTAATAATCACAGAAGATTTGGTTATTTTTCAAAATGATGGGTTTCTAGTGAAGCAGAGCTCTATTTACACAGCC